TTATTATTATTATTACATGATAATTATTATAGATTTGAGATGACTGTTTGAATTTCTTTAAACTATGAATTGTTTTATGTATGAAATCTTTCCCAAAAATAAGTTTTCCCTGGCTGTAAAATCAACGATTTTTGTTTTACAGACATGAAATTTTAACATACAGAAACTTACTTTACTTAATCCGTCCTCTTGTACCTCAGGGGCGTCAATGGGAGAAAGAGCTCCCTATCTCTAGCAAGTTTGATGGCCTGGCTGGGTGGGATATTGTATGTTCTCAGGGTATCCTTCACACCCTGGATCCAGGTCTTTTTTAGTCTTTCTCTTGCGTTGTACCCTGATACTTTTCTATAGTAGGCTGTACTGGCAAGCCGGTGAGGTGCAATACGTGTGAGATGACCAAACCACCCGATTGTAGTGGAGGACAGGTGTTATTCCCATCATTTCTCTAGTCTTGTTGTTTCTGACAATGTCCCGTCTGGTTTTGTTGACGGCTCTCCTTAGACATCTCATTTCGCAGGTGGTTATCTTACGTTCCAGACTTTTGGTCAGGGTCCATGTCTGGCACTGGTAGGTCAAGATGGAGATGAAGATAAAGCTAATTGTCTTGGCTTTGGTCTCAATGGGGATGTCAGGATGTTTGAGGAGTGGAGCAAGCTGATAGCTGACGCTGTTAGCCTTTTGTGCTCTCGTCTCAATTTCTCTGTTGAGACGTCCGTCTTCCGAAAAGAAGCTACCAAAATCCTTCAACTCGCTGACTTGTTTCAGCGGATTTCCATCGATGGTGATGTTAAGGTTGCCAGGTGTTCTGATAATTTCCATCGTCTCTGTTTTGCTTTTACTGATCTTTATGTTGAGCTTTTCGCATTGTGTATTCAGCCTGTCTGTGTGCTCTTGAAGTTGCTCTTCTTTCTCATATGCCAGACTTTGAACGTCCGCAAATAGCATCTCATTCAAGTCTATCGGGTTGGGGTTTGCTTCTTTGGTAATTTTGTCCCTGTATATAGTATCGGTAATAACACACACCCTTGTCTCACTCCAGAAGACACGTCGAACCAGTCAGTGAGTCCGTTTTGGATGCGGACTGTGCTCATACTGTTGGTATAGAAGGCTTTGATGTAGTACAACAGTTGTCCCCTAATGCTGTACTCTTCAACTTTAAGTGTTTTCCACAGTTTGTTTCTATCTACTCTAGCAAACGCTTTTCCTGGTCTACAAACACAAGATTCAGTTTTTTGCTGTATGCAGTTGTCCTTTCACTCACTCATTTGTGTAAGAGAGAAGATAGCGTCTGTGCACCCTCTCCCTTTTCTGAAGCTCATCTGTGCCTCACTCCGTAATGGTTCCACCTTGTGCCTCGTACGCTGTTCCAAGATCTTTGCGTAAATCTTGCCGGAGTGGCTCGGAAGGAAAATTCCAAAGTAGGTGTTGCATACAGAACATATTTAACCTAACAACCATTGATATCAATACAATTGATCACTCGATATGGCCAGCGGTCAAACAAAGAGACCATGTCCGCTTGGGCCAGTGTCCTTAGTGCAGGATTTGTTTTGAGCACAATTTCTTCTACGTCTTCAAATCCCTGCCGATCTTCTTTTTTAATTTTGGGGTAGAAATGAAAATCGCATGCGCATGGTGCTAGGCTACGTCTGGGGAATAGCAGGGATGTTTGAGGATTTCCCTCTGTCAGGAGTCCAGGACATCGGAGATGTTTCGAGCAGTGTGCGTGCCCAGGCGCCTTGTCATAATGGAAATCACCACCTTTCCAAGCAGACCCTTCCGCTTTCTTATCATTTCTGGTCTCAGCTTTGTTTATACGAGTAGAACCATCTTGTGGTAGTCTGCATTGAAAGTTTTGCCAAAGGGAATCCATCAGTTTAAAAACTCATCTTTGCAACGGAAAAACACGATGCGTGTCACGCTCAAGGCACTTTGCTTACGTCGATCTCTCTGGGATTGTGGTGATCCCAGGTTTCTCCATTCTGCTGATTAGTGATTGTCTTTTCAGCTCTGGGTCCCAAAAATACACCTAAATTGATCCCCCGTAATGATTCTTCTAAACAGATACTCTAAAGAAAAACAACCTGAAAATTAATACACGCGGGGGGGGGGGGGGGGGGGGCGCTTATTCGATACATTAGAGTATGCGACTCGTCTCTTCCCCGAAATCAGAGAAAAAACTAAGGGGCAGCTATTTAAAGACAAGGCAGAAGTCTTAATCCCCTCTCAGCCCAGGTTGGCCCTGACAGGCAGGATTGGAAGCCTGCCTCCTAAATGTGATAATGAAGTAAAAAATAACCCTACATTTTTAAAAATTGTTTTTGTTTCATCCACAGGAAAAGTTGGCGACTGGAGAAACTGGCTGAGTGAGGAACAAAGTGAAGCAGTCGACAAAGAATGGCGGACAAAAATGTTTGGGTGTACTTTATACCAACCTCACTATGAGTGAATGTCTGCACGCTTGTGGACTGTTGTTAGATTTGCTCAGTGAAATAGTCGTATATTTGATTCTGTGAATGGTTCCTGTAATATAAGTGGGTGGGTGGCGGATGCTCTAGTGTGGTCAACTCATCCTTTCCTTCTATCAAACACCTTTTGTCCTTGTCTCTCCTCCTTTTATTAATAGGCCTTAAATATGCCACTCTTTAGTGCAACTTTGATTTTTCGCACTTATATGACTTGTTTGTGTTGTGTTGCAAGTGCCATAGCCATAATACTCACTCAAAAACATAGAATAATAATAATGATAATTATTATTGCATTTATATAGCACATATCCACGCTCCACAGCATGCACTTTACGGTTATTATTACCGCAGCAGACCCTAGAACACTCAGAGACATACTCGGCTTCCCGGGACACACATAGAACTATCTAGGCAGAAGATATCCGGAGACGTCTCCGGCAAGCACACAGGAACTATTCGGAGACGTACTACCGCACACATGCACTGCTTGGGGGGGGGGGGGGGGTTAAACTTCGTAACTTTAGCTGCAGATCACACATATAGCCACTAAAACTGTCGTAAATCAATTATTTTCAAGAAAATTTCAAACCTAACTACAACATATCAAATTATGGGTTAACCCCCCCCCCCCCCCCCCCCCCCCCCCCCCAATTTCTTTACTTGCAGATTTTTTTTACTGGTTTAGAAGCTCAAAGCCTTTTGATTGGTCTTTCTCCGACGCAGACGTCTCCGGATATAATACTGCGATGTAATGGTGAAGGAAGCCGCTTTTTCGGAAAGAAACTATGGGGTAGGGTGGGTGTAGGGAGGGCGGATTGTGGTGTTTTGTTCAAAATCATCTTGATTTACCCAAAATAGAAAACTTTTAAATTTTGTATCGCAATTATTTGTATTGGAAAGGGGAAGGGTCATTTTGTTTGAATATAGTATGCTACTACTGAGGATCAAATGGACAGACAGAATCACCAACGAGGAAGTATTAAGAAGAACCAGATAGAGCCCAGTCAGAGATGAAGTGGGAAGAAGTCGTTGGCGATGGATTGGATCACCAACGAGGAAGTATTAAGAAGAACCAGATAGAGCCCAGTCAGAGATGAAGTGGGAAGAAGTCGTTGGCGATGGATTGGACACACTCTCAGGAAGTCAAGCAGTTGCATATAGAATTTTCTTTCTTTTTTTTTTTTTGGCTCAACGGCTTTCATACATTTTAAAGAACACATTTCTGTGTGGGTTTTTATTGAAAAAAAGTTGATTAGAGGCATGAAAGATGTAAACTTTTGGTTTCCACAGACTCTCAAGCTAAGGAAATAACTCAACTTTGACAGCCATTTTCTCGCTAATTTTACTTCTGAAACCAGGGGACCCCCACCTTCTTCAGTCGCCATTATCTTGACTTGTATCCAGGATTAATGGGTATTTTTTTCATCAAAAGCAATTCCTTCAAAAGCGCCTCAAAATTGGCGAGCGCCTGATTCCACTGCGTCGTGACAAATGTCATTATCCAAAAGGACTACCAGTCAAAAATGACCACTTTTATCCTGATCATATGTCGTCATCTTGGATAAGTTCAGCCCAATGTTATTTCAGAGGCTGGATTTTTGGCCTCATGATAAGGGGAAAGAGAAAGGGGAAAAGAGAAATAAAGACAGTTCTTAAAAGAAAAAGAAAACAAAATACACTTGCACATCTGGTATGCACGTGTATTCAGTATTCACGTAGCCTTCCTTTTCACTGTTTAAAAGGGCTGTAGGCCTACCTAACTTTAGTACTAGTAAGCAACGGATCTTGTTTTCTCAGGCCGCTGGAGGGATTAAAGTCAAAGTTGAATGAACCGTTGAGATATTCTGAGATACCGTTGAGTCAGGCCAGTCAAAAAATTTGCTTACTATATGCTTACATGAAACAATTGCTACGGCTCTGCTGGTTTACAGACATTTTGGTCAATTTAAATCTAAATTCGTTTTATTCATTATATCACAAGTATCAATTACGTTGGGGGGGGGGGGTACATGTATTACGCTGAATACCATACTAGTCTAGATATGTAGATCCTTTAAAGATATACTGGCGTCACAATGGATGAGTTGAGGGGAGGGGGTCCAGTTACACTGGATTCACGGTGGACTCCCTGGAAGAGGGCTGGAATGAAGACACGGTGTAAGCATGAAGCAAGATTGTCTCCCTTACTTCCATTTGAGACCTCCTGACATTATGGCCCATGATCCACCCAGGGTGGAATGCTTTCTATTTTGCTTGAAAAAGTCAAGCGCTGACAGTTTATAGAATAAGATTTCATTGTTTCCGACTGTAGTAGGAGTAGGAGGGTTACTGTTCACAGAAAATCACTTATTGTGCACAGTCCAACCTCGTTATACCCGCCTAACCTGGGACGAGCAGAAAGACGGCGGTATAACGGGGCTGGCGGTAAAACGGGATACCACCGATTGCCAACTTGACTACTGGTGGACTGATAGAAACTAGAGACAAACTTTGGCCAGTCTCGTCTCATCCAGATCTGTCTTGCGAGATTGCCATGCGCGGCTAAAACATAAGTAGCGATTAATTACAAGCACAGCTCCAGATGAACTTTTAAGTAACTTCAAAATTTAAAAAAACAAGGATCAGAAGCTAGGCTATGTCAAGGACCCTTAGACTGACAGTTTTTTTTGGGGGGGGTTTTACCCAACACATTGAATTCGACATTCTTCTCGTCGCCTTAATAAGACCTATCCTGTAGATTTGAGTGTGAGTCCTCGGAATATAAAAGACTTATGGGCACTCGCCAGTCATTAGGTTACTAGGCTGATACCTGGCGAAGCCATATATTTTGTCGGCAGGCTGAACTGGCTCAATTCCTTGGAAATTTTTCCAGACGACTTGAACATTTAATTCTAATGTTGTTCTTTTTTAATTAACCTTGGCCAACATCCTAAAATGTTAATATTTTCAAAATAAATGCAAATCAGGGGAAGAACGACAAGCTCTAAAAGTAGGCCGAGCACGCAGAGACGTGACTGTTATGAGGGGGGAAAGAGATTATCAAGCTGTCACTGTGTGGGTGCCATGCGCTGTGTGTAGTGTGCAGGCCTACCTCTGACGACCATTTCGCTGGCGGTACAACGGGGCAAGTTTACCGTAGTCTTAATTTTTGTTTTTTGGCTCAACACCTTTCATACCCATTAAAGAACTCATTTATGTGTGGATTTTTCTCAAAAACGTTTATTAAAGGTACAAAAAATGTAAAATGTTCGTTACCACGGAATCTTAAGCTAAGGAATATAACTAATCTTTGGCGGCCGTTTTCTCACTAATTTTACCTCTGAAAATAGGTGAATCCCACCTCCTTCTTTCGCACATATCTCGACTTGTATTCAAGATAAATGGATATTTCCTTCATCTAAATAAAGACTATTAAACAAGCTTTAAGATGATACCAATAACTCTACATGCTCAAAAATTGACGAGAGCCTGATTCCACCACGCTGCCTCACATATATGATAAAATGTGCTTTGTTTGACCAAATAAAAGCTGCGTGCTCAGTGAAGTGGATTTTTTTTTCTTTTTGCTGTTGTTCGTTTTATTTTTCGTTTTGTTTTATTGTTTTTCTTTCTTTACTCCTTTTGTAGTCTCTTTGGGTACAAAAGCTGCCAGCTTGCCCAACGAATTGCGCATTCCAGTTTACGATATAGGGGATTTTTGCATCATTTTTTTATCCACTTCACAGAGGGGGCGCGACATTTTATTTTACCAAGTATGATCGAACTTGTTTCAACTTTTCACAAATTACTGTCTCTTGCACGTTGTGTACTTCAATTTCAAATCAACGAGGAAATAAATCCCGTTCATTCAATATATGGTCCTCTCTTCAAGTTTAGGTAACGAACAGACAATAATGAGTAAAATAAACCTGAAATAAGTGTGTATAGTAAATGAATATCTCTGACAAAGGGAATTTATCCGTGACTTTATATTTCAATTTTAAAAAACCACTTTAATGTGCATGCATTTCAAAGGATGTAAAGAAAGAAAGAAAGAATATCTCTCTCATTATCTCTCTCTTTCTTTCTTTCTTTCTCTCTCTCTTTCTCTCTCTCTCTCTCTCTCTCTCTCTCTCTCTCTCTCTCTCTCTCTCTCTCTCTCTCTCTCTCCCTCCTTCCCTCCCTCCCTCTCCCTTCCCCATCTCTCTCTCCCTCTATCTCTCTCTGTCTCTCTCCCTTTCTCTATTTCTCTCTCTCTCTCTCTCTCTCTCTCTCTCTCTCTCTCTCTCTCTCTCTCTCTTCACACACACGCACGCGCACACACACACACACACACACACACACACACACACACACACACACACACACACACACATCAGAGTGCCAACAAGGGGCTATAATTCATATAAGTGGTAATTTATAACACGGCAACACATTTTTTTAAAATCCAGTGCAGCCATATATTATTACATGCATTATCAAATTGATATTTGCTGGCCCAACCAAACTCAGCGAGGGACTTACATCGCTGTAGCCTATGGTTGTGGTAGTGGTAATCTACAATCAAATTGTATCGATACAGTTTAAAATTGCACGGCTTTGTTAGGCCTAATCATTTCCCTGCCTGATAAGTGGCGGGGCGTTGAGAAGAGCTAAAAGCAAAGGGGCTTTCGCCCAACCCATCCCACCCTATCGTTTCCCCCACAAAAAAATGCAGGTTTTTTAATAAACGAAACAATCAGCTAAAACCGTTACGACTGCTTCAGAATCATCCACCTCTAGTTGTTTGTTGTTGTTTTTTTTGTCAAGTGTTTTACGGCGCTCGCAACTGTATAAGGTCATATTCATATGAGCGCGCGGGACACGCCTAATATTTTCAGTTGGTAGAAATTTTGAAATTTTGAATTTGTCCGCCACCCGGACAAAATTCAAAATTAATTCCTATCTGCTGAAAATGTTAAATGTGTCACGCGCGCTCTTATAACCTTACGCAGTTGCAAGCGCCGTAAAACGTTTACCCAAAATTTTATTTTTTAATAGATATTTACATATATATATGTGTGTGTGTGTGTGTGTGTGTGTGTGTGTGTGTGTGTGTGTGTGTGTGTGTGTGTGTGTGTGTCTGTGTGTGTGTGTCTGTGTGTGTGTGTGTGTGTGTCAGAAACATGAGTTTGCATACATTCCATAGTATGCCTTTCGTTGCATGCCTTTTAAAGTTTCAGATAAAGAAAACAAAATCGAAACATATTGTGTTCGAATAATTAGACAATGCCCCAAAACAGCGCATCCAAAAAAAAACAAGACAAAAAAACCCCAAAAAACACATTGACTCGCATTATGAGTAGTGCGAATGGCTCAGTACTCAAGTTTTAATGGCATTTATTCCCTGATAGTGGTATTCTTCTGCACTCTCCTGGGAATATGTATGGTCTTTGGCTGCTGTTTTCTTTTTAATATCGGACACCCGAGCTCATTTACAGAAACAATAAATACATGTAGGCTAGTAATCTTGGAGTGGTGAGCGTTTTATTCTCATTAAAGTACTTGCGTATAGTTATAGTAGGCCTATTATGTTTTGACACATTCCTCATTCAGAGGAGAACACGTACACCAGTAAAGTTGCACTTGCACTCATATTTGGTAGGTGTTTTGCGGGTGCTCTTGTGTCGTTTTCTCCTTCTTTCCTATCAAACAACTGTCAACTATCATCTTTATAAATCTATTTCTTTTCTTTGTATTTTGCTCTCGAGCAACCCTTCTAATATTCGTTGCATGATATCTCTACATATTCTATTTGTGAAAGTCCGTCACTTTGGCCGCCTGAAACGTCCGAACCACTTAACTTTCGAATCTGACAAAATGAATGTTAGTTCAGAATCATTCAAAGGGTGCACCGTTTTATTTGGGAGCCTGAAGTCACTGTACTTTAATTTTCAGTTTTTCACTAGTACATGTACTAGTTTCGTTTAGATCTTTTCCTGGGAAAGTCCGTCTTCTAAAACGCCATTGTAAACAAGTGAGGTTTCCGTTAACTAGCCGTGCGCACGACTTCCACACCTTTGAAATTCTGGAGTGTACAACCACGAAAGCGGAATAGAAAATCAATCTATACAGTACATCTATTATATATTTATTTGGCAACTTGGAAACACATGTGCCACTTTCCCCATAAAACTACGACAGCTGCAGCGTTGAAAGTTGACATGTACCTGCAAAAAGATAGATAGGTCCCCATGACGGAGCCCGATTTTTGATTTATTCATTTCCTGAATTTATAAAAACTATATTTGACAAAAAGTTGCCGTAGGCCCTACTTCTTCGCCTTTTGTGATTATTCCACTGAGAAACGAAACAAATCTGCGTAGCTCAAGCTGTCCTTCACAACGGAAGTGCCGGGAGTGATATTTTGCGAGGCGCAGTTTGTTTTGAGAGTCTAGATCTAGACCTTCTAATTTTTTTTAGATCTCTCAAGATTAATTGCTTCATTCCACAGACCGAAGGGCTAGAACCCAAATGGCCGCTGGATCGGAAAAGTAAAGTAAAGTAAGTATTGCTTCATTCCAGTAGAGTGTAATGATTTAGTAGGCCAATGACATTCAGTTGATGTTAATGCATCGATCATTCCTTCTTAATCGAAAGGAGGGCCTGCTGGCCTGCTAGTTATAACGTAATTGTGTTGCAAATGTGGTAGAACGCGTGCTGAATTTAAAAACTTAAGTTCGTGCTTAAAATTTCCATTCATTGTCTCTATTTCTTTTTGTCCGCTAGGATGGGTCTTCAGAGTCTTCTGCAGAGGTTCAAGAAGTTCATGTACCAGCTGATGGTCAGATATCAAGTGATTTTGCATCTAATTCCAGTACTGCAGCTATTTACAACACATTTGACAGATACTTTTTTTTTTTAAAGAGCCATCACAGGATTACTGATAAATTAGAAAGTGGAAAATCATTTCAGGCTTGCAAACACAACGGAAAATTGTGCCCAGCTTTTGGGTTAGAGAAACTCAGGACGATTCCCATCATCAGCATCAGACGAGATGACGTAATGCTGTGTGTCTTCCCCCTAGACCGGAAGCCACTGTGTGCACGAAATCCACCACATGTTGGCCAACGAGAAATCGAAGCTCACCAATTATGGAAAAGGGCTAGGTGGAATGACTCACGCTATCCCAGACATCATCGTGGACTCCCTCTCTTCACCGCGTGTGCTTAATTCTCACTTCGTGTATTAGGATCTACCAAAAGGCGTTAAAGAGCACAGAACAAAAATCGTCCTCACCATAAGAAACCCAAAAGACACAGTTGTCTTGTGCCAATTTCCCAAAATTCCATGAGTTTTCCATGATGTCAATTCATGGTCATATTTCACAGACAGCATGTTCCTCAAAATAACTCTTTGTCTTGAAAATTGTCTTCGCCTCAGCACATGATGCAGTATTCAAAGAAGCTACATGCAAGAAACAGTGGAGCAGGAAGAATCCGAACTTTTGCAGATGATGTGATGGTGTAAGTCTGCGAACAAGGTCGTGATAGGCTAACGGTTGGACGGATGCTACAGGACAGGATGGGCAAGGTCGCAGATTGGTGTAAGGAATACAATGCGGTCATCTATCCAGACAAAGCACAGGTCATCTGGTGCTCACTCAACAACCGTATTGTGAAAGACCCTACCCCTCCAATTGTGTTTGACCACTTTCTCATAGACAGACAGCATGAGTTGAAGTACCTGGGAATCACTCTGGAAAGGACACTTTCTTTCCGAAAACTATATTGACAGAACTCAGAAGGGCATTAATCAATGTAGTGAAGACCTTGGCTTCAGCGGGAATTAAACAGAGTTCATTTTCTCCTAATGTTCAGTCAGTCATAGAATATGGTCCGGGCATCCTCTCCCTGTCCAAGACTCAGATAGGCAGGTTGGAGAGAGTACAGAATGCAGCTATGAAGGCAGCCTTAGGTTGCACAAAGGACACCCATGTCTGTATGAGATACATCCCTGACCTTGCCTGCATCAGAGTATTCAGAGTGAGGCATACGGTGACACAGGCAAAACTGTACTTGAAATGAATGTTTTGGGAGACCCGAGGCACCCTTTGCATGACAACCTAAGCAACATCAAAGGAAATAGGATCAAACGGGGCAGCTCATGGATAGCAGAAGATGAAGACTCCTTGAGCAAAGTTAGTGGCATCGATGAAATATGCAGTGGAAAGAAATGGTTCCAATTGAGCCACTATTGCAGAAGCCTGGCCAGCGTTCATATCACTGTGGGTCGTGAAAGACGGAAATGTGCTGCTGTCATTGTCATTAACGACAATGACATACGACAGTTAATTTAGGAGCATTCTAAGCCAGAGGACCTAGTGATCTACATGGATGGATAGGTCAGGAGAGGTGAGAGAGGTGGGCGGGGTTTTGTAGTGTACAGTGGGAATAAACAGGTTCATAGCATGTTAGGGGGCATAGAAAGAACAACTTCACGCATGAAATGGAGATTGAGGCCGTAACAGAACAAGAGCGCTTGGCTGGCTTCAAAATACAAGACCATGAACTACCCATCTCATTATTGTCACAGACTCCCAGAGCATCCTGCAAAGGGTTGAAAAAGGGCTGCTTCCGAGTGAATGGAAGAACCCAATACAACACTCATCGCTTAGAGCCATCACGTGGATATTCTCTCCTGGGCACTCTGGAGTGAAGGGTAATGAGGAGGCTGATAGGCTGGCGGGCAGTGCGGTGGTTGATGGTGAGGTGAAATTTGACAAAAGAGAAGTGTTGAAGACCCTGGAGAAAAGTTGCGGGATGAGGAAGACAGGGAGAGAGCAGAACACCACACAATCATCAGGACGCCGGAAATGGGGATAGAAAGGGTAGAAGGAAGAAAGGAACAATTATCCGGAAAGGAAAGATGTCGCCATAATCAAACAGCCACCGGAACAATCAGTATGGATACCTTGCGGGCTTTGGTGCTGAGAGGAACTGAGAAATTATGGACCTGTTGGTGTGCAATGACACTGTCGCCCAGGACAGGTAATACAGGTAATTAGGTAATACATCAAGAAACGAAATACACACTTATAAAAATCTTAATCTTATGAATTCATTTTATTACTTCAAGAGGACAATGATATCAAATACATTTGGAAAACACCAATCCTTTCCTTTCGGAGAAATTTAGCATGAACTGCAAGGTATTCATGTGATGGCTTACTTCAGTTAGGCTATTTGATATTACTTACCACATAAAAATATAACAAAAAATACAAGGAAACCCCTGACATTCTTCTAAAGAGAACTTTTTTACTCCTCCCTTTAAACCAAACAGAGCCTACATAAAATTTCAGTCTTGCCATTTACAAGGAAAGAAAAGTGGTAATTTCCCATAATTTTGATGTTTAGGTTAATTTACCAAGCTCATTCCAAAAGAAACTCAAATTTTTTTTTTACAAAAGCCTAGCAGTACAAACTATGAAATCATTTCAATGTGTCCCCTCAAGAGTACCGTCTTCTCACTCTCTAGAACCCCCCCCCCCCCCCCCACACACACACACACATTCACAACCACACACACACACACACACAACAGAAAAACACACACACACACAACACACATGCATTCACACACACACATACACTCTCACACACACACAAAACATACAACCTATTCACAGAAGAAAAAAAACAATGATGCCTTATGCTTAAGATGCAATGCACACACTTCATCTTCAACTATATCAGACACACACACACAAAATTCAATCATCTTCTTCCTCATCATCACCAAATGACAACAATGATTTGTTTTCTTTTTTCTTTTTAGAATCTTTAGACGGCTTCTTCTTCTTAATGTCCTCTGTCTTCCCCTCTTCCTCATCATCTTGTGCTGCCTCTTTCGTTCTTTTGACTGGTTTCTTGAATGTGATCTTCTCATCTAGACGAGCGGGCCCTGGAACACATAGTATAATTTATTGTTTAATAGACATATATATAATACATATATGAGAAATAATTTCGTACCAGTACAGGGACCATAAAACTCCCTTGATATAGGATACTACCTCTCATCCCAACAAATCTCCTAGAGCTGCATATGGTTGAGTAAAAGAAAGAATGACCTTTCATTTCATATACATATGCATATATATATATATATACATGTATATGTATATATGTATATGGTGTCGGTGGCCTAGTGGTTAGGTGCTCAGACTCTCAATCGTAGAGCTGTGGATTTGAATCCCATCAGAAACCCGATGTTGTGTCCTTGAGAAAGGCATTTAATATGAATTTCCCTCACTTCACCCCGGTGGGATTGCACACCCAGCTATAGACAATAAAAGTGAAAGATCTTGTCAGTTTTTTAGCGATTGAGCAGTCCGCAGCTTTCGCTATATGCTTGCTGGGAAATCAAGAATGTTTCTGAGTTCTGGGGTCTACTAGATATAGTGCTAATATAAATAAAATTATGTTATTATTATTAGTTTAGATAATTTTTTTGTGATACATGTATTACATGTATTATTATTATCATTATTATTACTTTTATCAATATATATATCCCGAATTATAACAATAACAAAGATAACAATAACTTTGGAGAACACCATGTCAATAGACCAGCCAACCACTCCATGACAAAAGTAGGAGTTTTCCTAAATATGCCTCCAAAAAATAGGAGTTTTGGGGGAAAAACTGAGGTTTTAAAATCCCAATAGATTAAGATTAAGTAGCAAACCCACAGTGTAAAATATAATCATGTATAGCAAACACACACAAATAAACTCAAAGAAAAATGTGTACTATCAGGTCATTTACAATAAATTAGGCTAAAACACACGCCATTACACCTAAAAATGTGCGGGGGGGGTTCCACATCATTTATCATAAGTGGACGGAAACGGAATTCTAAAAATAAATATGATTTTATGCTAATCTAATCAGGGTTCTTTGACGAACAATTTTAAAAATTGGGAGAGCTCAAATTTTATCAAAGTATTTGGCAGTTCTGTGATGAAGTGAGAAATAGTGAAAATGCTGCGAACACAATGACTACATGGTCATAAATCTGCATATCATTGAGCTCTTTTAGGTACCTGCTATTATATCACAAAAAAGTTCACATTGCTTCCAATGAACACTCAGTCCAATGAAATTCAAGGTCAGGCCAAGCAATTTCATTGTATCCAAGTTCCACTTAATCTGGAAGACATCTATACAATATGTCTTCAAGATCTTTAGGCGATTTCTTATATATTTTAATTTTGTAATCTTTGTTCTTTGTTGTATATCAATATAAAAGAAAATTTCACACACAATGACCTTCACGGACAACTGACCCAAAACTTTAAAGAGTCAAGCCCAATTGAAAATTACCTTCAGTATAAGGTATGGGGTTGTGGCTACACTTACAGAAGAAATTGAGTCTGTTAGGCACAGTTATGATAAATGCCCAAGGCAAATATGTGAACCCTTAGGACGTGAGCACATACACCAGAGCATGCCCTACCTTTACCCTTTAGCAGTTATGTAAATTTAGCATAGATTCTGTGGGCTCAGGAGCAGAGGGCATAAAGGGCTATTAAGAAATATATACCAGCAGCAAAAGTATAAGTTCTGTGATATCTAGTCGGAAAAAAATATGTGCCCTTTTCTGCAATAGGGTACATAAAATAAAATGTCTGAACCTGCTGTTAAAATGTTTAAGTTTTCATTTTAAGGCTACATCATGGTCACACACATGTTAACAATTAATCACAAGGCTCACCTTCATCTATTTGTTTTAGTTCAGATGTTGCTTCCTCAGCTGTAAGATCCCCCTCTTTCAGAACAACGACCATAGGCTTTTCATCCTCTTTCTCTTCAACATTTTCTTCATCCTCATCATCACTGAAATTTGGAATTTGACGCTGGAAAATATTGCACAGAAGAACATTACTATATGGAAAATTGAAAATAAATGAAAATAGCTTCAAAATATGACATAATTGCTTAATTAATCTGAGAACCAAAGCACATAGCATGAAAAGTAACAGTTATTTCTTAATGCAGAACTGAGAAAGATTGAAAAGGGAAGGCCACAGCATCCCAATAACCACATATTTATTAGAATTTAACAGTTCTTAGAAACTTTGTACTCCAAGATTTGCAGATGATTCAGCCGCGATTAACAAGTCAAAATTGTCCAAAATGGTCACCCACTACCAAGGAGAAAAGTGTTTGACTCCTTGTATAAGTGCATCAGTGGCATTTCTACAGATAATTGTTTGGACAGGTGGCCATTAGAGCAGGTCTGACTGTACTTGTCCATAGTTTTAAGTAGACAAACTGAACTTTTGACTCTGCTAACAGATGAATGTAACTTCAAAAGAAAATTCATTCAGTCCATAGGTCGATAAGAGTAGGCTTCTGCCGCCACCCGGGCAAAATTCAAAATTTCCTACCAACTGAAAATATTAGGTGTGTCCCGCGTGCTCATATGACCTATGCAGTTGCGAGTGCCGTAAAACACTTTACAAAAACATCAGTCCATAGGTGGAAACATGCATCAAATGTCGGACAATTACATTCATGTCATGTTAATGAGTAAAGGAAAACCAATTTGCTAAACTAGTACAAGACAGTAGAATCAACAGCTTTACCAAATACAGGAAAATGCAAAAAGGAGGGAAAAAAACTACACAAAACAGTGAAATTGTTCATATCATACAGTGTTCAAATTTCCCAAATCCATATCACAGTTCAACGATGATAACATGAACTTCATGGGACAAAAAATTTCTTTGTGTTAAGGAGGTTTTGTGTTCAAGGAAGTTGTAATGAATACATGCATAAAATTAAGAAAGAAAAAATAAACCCGCAGAGTTGAAATTCTCCTGTGGTAACAGGAACAACCAGTTAAACAGCTTCATGTTAAACGAAGGCAACTCTAGTTGGTACCATAAACAGATTCTTTTAAATACATCAGGTATTCTTAATACTAGTACATGTATCAAATAGCGGGTAGTATTGCATACAGATGTATCTCAGAGGCCGCCAAAAATGACTTATGTCTGTATGCAATACTGCCCGTGAAATGTTTGTCCTTTTCTCTCCTCCTTTTTTGTTTTTATTTGTTACTCTCTTGCCTCTAATCTTCTGAACTTATTTATCTAACCTTATTGTGTTGCATGTGCCATAAATTGAAACTCTTGCTAAAACTAAACTAAACATTCACTCTCCATCACAACCCTTGTACTCTAGTACATTCTGAGACAAAATTACATACTTTTGTGTTGACATCAGGTCCATCTTTGTGACCTACTTTCTCCTTGAACTGTCTAATGAATGACGGCTCCTCATTTTGCACATACTGTACACCTTTCCGCGGCATTTTTACTGCTCCGAGCTGTAGACAAAATATTTTTAAAATGCAGTCTGAGTAGCACATACACATGGCAAAATCAGCAGCACAAATCTTTTCATTATATAAGGTACAAAATTTGTGACACGATGCGAATTTCAGGTACATACCAATTGAAATTTGGTCAAAATTTTATATGAAAGATTCCCCCTATGCCATGACAACAACATGCATTTGGATTCATAGTTGATAGATAAAATATTTAACAGATTTGGGGTTTTGACAAATTGATTTTTTTAATCCACTTCTGTTAAGATCAACTGCATGACCTTCGCATGCACTGGACTGCCCTTAGCTTATAATTACTTACTATAAAGAGCTCCTTGGCCTACACTCATACCATGTTATTTAAATAACTGCATTACAATAGCTATAAACAGTATTTTACCACAAAACTTATGAAAGACTCTAAATGTTAAAGTTATACCAAAATAAAAAAATCAAATCTTTCATTTTGTTAGGAATTTTTTGTTGTTCTTTCCATTTCATTCTCGGACAGTGGTTTCAGGACAACCTAAGAACCATTTAAAACTTGTTTGGGACTAGATCTAGATCCAGATTTAGATCTACCACACTCTTGAGCATTTCTTATTTCTTGAATAAAAAGAAACATGAGCGTATTAACTATTGTGAGGCATTATCGTTATGAAATCAGGGACTCGTCAAAATAATGAAATTTAAAAAAGGAAGTGACTACAGTGGAACTCGTATTCAACGAGCTCGGATTCAACGAGACGAGATAGATTCCCCGGTTTTTTTTCTTCTTTAAAATCAATAAAAATAACCCGGATTCAACAAGCACTTACATCAGCGAGCTCGGATTCAACGAGGTCGCTTCCAGGGCGAACAGCCCCCGCAGACGTGGCTTCGCTCATCATTTTTCTCCCAGAACGAACTTTATCTATTCCCAGAAACCATCCATTGTTCCTGCATCGTGAACCATTGTTCACTTAGCCGATTGCATGAGACCAATCAGTGGTCTTTTTTCATACCAACACAAGCGTTGTTGACACACACATGTCTACTCTAGCGTGTGTCGGGGTCGGATGGGCGGCCTGCACATCATGTGTGGCTGTGTAAGCGTGTTGGGGAGGGGGGAGGGCACTAGCGGTCCGAGCGTTGAACATCGAAGATACACAGTCTTTTTTTCCCCTCGGCAAAAGATCATTATTAAAATAATAAGCTAATCTTGACGTAGACCACGTAATGAATTGTGCGCTGGTCTATGGAATCAAAAGTTGCCATAAGCTAGGCTCTACACAGCTATAATTTTTCGGTAAACAAGTGAGATGGCATAGGCGTGTGCATTTGAACGAATCGGTCTTTTTTTTCACAGCTTTGCAGGCATTTCAGGCACTACTTGTGACTTCTGTTTATACATTACTTGCTCAGTGCCTATAAAATTATCTACACAAAACCTCGTGTTTGCTATAATGAACACTCGGATTCAACGAGATTTTAGGTCAGGCCCGGCGACCTCGTAGAATCCGAGTTCCACTGTATTTCTCCGAAGGCTCGGGAAAATAAACTAGATCATTATTTCTCCTAACGGTTTCCGTTCTCAAAATTTTGGGGTTATTAGTGAGATCTAGGCGTCATCTTTCATTATAATGCCATTCTGGGATGACTGGGAAGAAGATTTTTTGTGTATCGAAGTCAATTTCTAGAGCTAGAGATTTTTAAATGTCTGAATTTGAATATTCAGATACTTCAGTTGCGGTTGGGGCAACGTTCTCGGACTATACTTCATTTGAAAATTATGCGTTCAAAACAGGGGCGGCTCGTGGGTTTAAAAAGTGGGCGTGCACAATTAAGCTATCTTAGGTTGAAGATAGTCATGGGCATAGTAAACGAGATGGTGTATAATTTTAGGATCTTTGGTTTGGTGAGGGAGAACCTTGTGATTCTATTTTCATTCTTTTTACTTGTGGCTTTGACTTCTAGAACTAAATCTGTTTGTTAGCTAAACGTCAATTTCATTCATCCTGCTTTAGAACTGAACATTCAAGTAATACCTTTCACCACTCCACTACAAAACCGTTCAAAAGCACAACCCATAGGATGATGACTTAAATGTGTCACGTTCACCTCCCTCAGGTTCACGGTCACAGAGTCACTTAAAATAGTGGCAAGACAATGAATCAATCACAATTCACTTGAGCACTCCGCTGGATTGCTCCAGGGCTGACATAATTTTGGCATAGAATAGTGCACAGTCTATCGCATTTATTTTTAGATTGCCTACTGTGGGCTATGTTTCGGCACTATTCGGCAGGAGCGCATTTGAGATGTGCCGTCTTATTAATATTTTAATGTACCGCCAAACTCGCTACGAGTGTCGTCATTGCTTGGGTTATCCCAAAGAGCGATTTATAGGTCAGGTTTCCACTGTTGAATATCCTGCTATGCACAGATACAGCGCATGAACTTTGGCATGGCATAGTAGATGTTTTACGGTGCTATAGACACAGAAATGACAGTTACGGCGCCAGTGAGAAACGTATTTTGATATAATATTTGGCTAGATCTAGTGTTTGTTTCTGGCGTCTTTTTATTTTGTTATTGTAGGTGTTTTACGTAATAGAACATTAAAATTTTGGGCGTCACTGCACGACCGTGCTCAATGGACGAACCGCGCCTGGTTCAAAAGGTACAGCGAGAAAACAAGAGCTCGACCTTGGCAGTAACCTATTTTGCATTTGCATTCTAGTCCGAATAAGAAATTTTGGTAAATTTTGACTTTCATTCCCGCACACAGATGCACTGTTTCAGGGGTCAAACTGCTGTTCTGTTTGCTGCAGATCACACATAAAGCCACTAAAACTGTCGCAAAGCAATTATTTTCAAGACAATTTCAAATCTAACTGTAAAATATCAAATTATGGGTAAAAACAGGGGGGCATGCCCCCCTGTAACCCCCCAGATTTTCTTTTACCCCAGTGGGGCAGGCCCCCCTGGAACCCCCCCGATTGGTCCAAAGCATGTCTATCTCAGTTAAAAACAATCAAATATTTCAAAATGTTATTCGGACCCGAGTCCGAATATGGACGGCCTTCGGTAAAAAGACATAGATCTAGATCTAGATTTAGATATCTAGATCTAGACCTAGATCTAGATGTAGATCTAGATCTATAAATCTAGATGTAGATCTAGATCTACCGCTCACACAATGAATAGCTACATAGATTAGTCTTTAGAGCTCTCTATCTAGATCTAGATCTAGAATCTAGATTCTAGATCTAAATCTAGATTAGATCTAGAAAATATAGATCTAGATCTAGAATCTAGATCTAGATCTAGATCTAGATTGTAGATCTGGATCTAATCTAGATCTATATCTAGATCTAGATCTAGATCTAGATTTCTAGATCTTCTACATTCTAATATAGAATCTAGATCTAATCTAGATTCTATATCTAAAATCTAGATCTAGATCTAGATCTAGAATAATAGTATAGTATTAATAGAATAGATCTAGATCTAGATCTAGAAGATCTATATATCTATATCTATAGATCTAATCTAGATTCTAGATCTAGATCTAGAATCTAGATCTATATATCTAGATCTAGATCTATATAGATATAGATATATAGATATATGATATAGATCTAGATCTAGATATAGATATAGATATATATCTAGATCTATTCTAGATTAGATCTAGATCTAGAGTAGACTAGAGTCTAGATCTATATTCTAGATATCTAGATAATTATGATTGTTGTATTTAGATCTAGAATCTAGATTCTAGATCTAGATCTAGATTTAGTAGGCTTACCTGGTTAATAATAGCCTAACAATGTCCAATATGTAGGAATTCACCACACACATACATCGGCCAGAGTTAGAAGAGAGCTTAAAAAATTTGTCAAATTGAAAAACCAAGGAGGTGAAAACGAAAACAAGAATCAAGAAACACTTTTTGACAGAGTTACCCACCTTGGGCAAGGGGAGCTAGTCTTATAATTATCTATCTTGTAGGAACAATAAGAGTGATTTCCCTTGTAGTATATTTTGACCCCGCCCCGAAGTTGAAGAATCCAGCCAGGCAGCCCAGGGTAGGGCTGGGCAATGAGTCGCTCTAGCAAAATCCGGATAATATGTTAGTGCACCTCTTTGGTAAATAATGTGTTATGAACCGGTTCGGCAAATGGATTAAGAACCACTTTGACAAACGGGTTAGCATCATTTCAACAAATGGGAGGACTCACTTCTGCAAACGGGTCAGGAAAAAGAGTTTAAGAGTCTGAATTCGGATAATGTCAAATTGATGATTACCCGATTATCCGGATATTTATCTGGATTTTGCCCACCTCTAGCCCAGGGACAGTCAGGCAGTAGTGATGGGCCGATACCACAATTTAGGTATCGATGTCGATACCCAGTACTTTTTCAAGGTATCGATACCAATACCTCGATACCGAATGCTATTGGTAACATACGCTGGGGGTAATAAGTAAAGACAAAAATACAACTATACTTTTAGAAGTATTTAGGTAATCGTGTCTAGACAAGTTGTGACTATTTAGCTGAGACTCAAACAAAAATTATTTGTAAAAGAGAGAGAGAGAGAGAGAGAGAGCAAATATGAGAATGAAAACAAAAATTAAGTGAAGTATGGGAGGAAAGTCAACTTTGCAGAAAATGTTAGTATTGGAAAATAAAAACACAAGAGTTCTAAAAAG